GGTGAAGTGGGAGTGCCTGGGGGCACGGGCCGGTGAGGCGATGTCGGGCGCACTCGTGGCGGCGGCTCGCTCACTCGGCGATCTCCCAGCGAGTCCAAAACCATCTCTGAGCAAGCAAGACTGCCCCCCGCCCCCCCCCCCCCGCATGGCAAGGCCGTCAGCAGTGCGGGCTGGATAAATGGGCAGGTGGTCCCACGGCCGCAGTTTGAGGACCCGTGCGTTAGACAACGCTGGCCTCCTCTCATTGGTCCTGAAGAGCACTTCCGGGGGCAGGAGGGGGCATTTGTGCATATCTGGGGTTTGGAAGGAAGGAAACTAAGTATTTCTGAAAGTGGAAAAAGGCTGCGTCCTGCTTGTGGATCTGTGCTGCTCCGCTCAGCACGGCACCCCCGAGAACTCCAGCTGCTCCGTGGATGGGCACGGCGTCCACGCATATCCTCCACCGCCAGAGCATCATTGCTCGACGCAGATGCAGTGCGAGGTGTCACTGGGTTCCTGCCAGCCACGCAGCGTGGAACACGGGGCTCCAAGCATGAGACGATCCGGGTTTCTGCTGCTCCAACTTTGCTCAGGTGGGCAGAAGGTCACCATGTGGGCCGGGCGGGAACACCTCAGAAGCACAGGTGGAGCAGATTCTTTCCCCTTGGGTGTCTCCAGGCCACCACCTAGAACCAGAGGTGTGTCAGGCTCTCTGAGCCACAGGCTCACAGTCCCTGCGGGTGCCATGCTTCAGCCTGCGAATTAAGCCCAGTTCTTGTGTCCTCAGGGACATTGTCCTTGGCCCTCAAGTCTGCCCGGCTTGCTGCCGGCGGGGAATGCTTCCCACAGCTGCCCGCTGCTGCTCCTGGTGCACTCTGCTCAGCTTTCCTTCAGGTACAGCAATGCGATGAGGGGTCGTTGCAGCCATTCCACGCTGCGCTCCCAGGCACGAGCGAGGACCTTCCCGCAGCGCTCGCTCTCCCTTCCCCGCTTCTTCACCTGCCGCAGCCTCTCCAAGCCACGGACTGAGAGTGGGGCGGGAGGGACGGCAGGCCCGTGTCGCACGTGCCGCAGAACCTCCGGATGTATTCCTGACGGCTGCACAAAGACTCGGTTTTTCCATTCATTTAGCCTGAACTTGTTTGCCCCGCTTCTTGGCACTGCGGCAGCGCTTGGAATTCCAATGGCTGCAAAAAAGGCGCTGCTATTGTTGAAAGCGCGTTTAAAATCTATCATTTATTTAACTGTCAGATTGGTTCATCATTGAATTTCATGGGAGAAGAGTCATTAGCCAAAGTGAAGCCAACATGGGAGGTCATGTTTAATTTATTTTCTGGGACTTGATTTGTGCTCTTTGAACAAAAGTGTTGTAAGTTATTCAATGCTCAAAGGTGTCCACTTTCATCTCAGCATAATTAGACTGATTAATTTGTATTATCCCTAACAAGAAACATTCATTCCAGCCGAGTGAACATGGCAAACAGAACCTGTGACATTTCCACCACTTTAGATGGACAATGCATTCTGGCCCATTGAAGCGCTGCTCCGGCGAGGGCTGCGTTCCACATTTTATCTTGGCAGGCAACACGGGATGTGATATTTGCAGCTGAGCATAAAATAGAAGGAAAGGAAGAGAAACAGCGACGCAGGCCGGTCTTGCCTTGCAGACTCCCAGTTGTTAAACAGAAGGCTAACTTACCAGTCAGACAATTACTGGAACAGAGCAAAAACAGGACCGGGAAGGAATGGGAGCAGGGGGAGTTTGGGATTATGGATGGGGTATGCTTGGACTCAGGCGCTCTCCCAGGGAACCCAGTGGGGCCTGGTAAGCGCCACAGGCAAGAATAAGGGTCTGCACAAGTTCCTTCTCTCAGTGTATCTCTTCATCCGTACAAGAAGCAAAAAGCTCAGCTATGCAGGTGCAGAAGCCTCTCTCTCGATTCTGTATGTGGGCGCCAGCCACGGATGCTGGTTTGTGAGTTTCACCCAAGCCCTGTGGAGCCTGGGAAAGCTGCCCATTGATTTCTCATGGCTTCGGGTTCATCTATTTTCCATGCTGGCCCTGGCTGGTAGGTTCGTGGGAGACAAAGGTGATATGTTCGGGAGGAGAGCTCTGATCCCACTCGCCTGCCCCACGGTCTGTCCCCACAGAGGCTGCAAGGCGTGAGCGGGGAGGCACGCTTGTCTGAATTGTGGTGGCGCTCGGCTTCGGACCTCTGCCCGGCCTCTCTCTCTTGCCTCATCTTAGCTGCTAAATCGGTAGCACTGGGGCACATGACCACGGACAGACCCAGGAATCAAGTGGGTGCAGGTGGCACTTTTTCGGTTTGGGGGTTGCCCCGAGAGGTCCACGAAGCGGTTGGCCAAGGCCAGCTCTGAAGCCCCCCTCATCTGCGCATTTGCACAGGAGGTCGCAGGCACAAAGGGAGGGCCGCAGGCGGGCACCATGCCCCCGGCCTGCTTTGGCCCGCACGCCAGCCCCCAGCCCCAAAGCCACGCAGGCGGCCTGCGAAGGCCCCGGGGCATCCGCTTCTGCAGGGCTGCACCACTGAGGCACAGACGGCGCGAGCCGCCCTGGCGCCACCCCAGTGGAGAGCGGCCCTGCTGGCGGGCAGGCGCTCGCTCCCGTTCCGTTTCCATCACGCCGGACAACATCCCGAGCAGCCCCAGGAGTTTTGCATAAGCTGGGCACTAAGAGCCAGTGCGCGGAACATCTTTCAGCCCTTGCTTTGGGTAGGGATGTAAAAGTAAATGGATTGGAGGGCTGACATGTTACATTTTTAAACAGTTTCCCCTCTGGGAGGTCTTTAAACATAGAGATGTTTTAGAGATGCTTGCCGAACCCTGGTTTGTCTTCCAAAAGGCTGAAGATTCGTGGTGCAGCAAGACATGGAAACTAGGGCTTCCCTCCCCCCCCACTCTCTCTCAGAACAAGAAAGCAAATCATAGTTCAGTGGCCTTGTACCCCCTTCCAAATTCTTCCATTAATCAGCTTCTGCTTTTTGCATTTGATTTCCCAAGATGGTGGCAATTATTAAAAGAAACACAGGAATCAAGCATCTGTTCTTCTTCCTTGTATCTTTGTAACAGCCAGATCCAAAAGTTTTGTTTCATTGTTGCTGTTCCAAAAACGAAAAAACCCCGCAAAACAAGGTCAGAATAAATTGATCCTATGAGGCTGTGAAGCTTACGCGCTTTCTGTCATTAGCCAAAGCACCCAACTTTCATTAATGGCCACCTGTCTTCTGAGAAGAGATGCAAACTGATTGAGTCGAACCAAACAGCAGCATCCATTGAGCGGGCTGACGATTACCTTTCCTTCTTCCTTTTTGCATATCCATTTTGGCCTCTCCCAATGGCTCGAAGCAAATTATTTAAAAAGCCAGTGCCCCTGTCGGGGCGAGTCTGCTTCCTCAGATCGAAGTGAATCGTTTGTCGCCTCGTTTCTGTGTACCTCCTGAGGATGCTCCTGCGCTGAATACTGCGCCCTCAGCTCCCGGTGTGGGGGCACTGTGGGTGATCGGCCGGCTTCCCCACTCGCTCCAGACCTCGTCCCACCAGAGCCCGAGCGGTCAGGCCAGGCCCGCTTCCAGACGGTCGCAGGACTCACGCTCTGGCAAAATCCCAGGGAAGGGGTCTCCAGGGTTGGGAGGAAGATATTCAGACCCTCTCTCCGACGCTGCCATGCAGCATTAATTCCGTTGCTAGGCGAGCACCGGCCCAGTCAGAAGACGGCAGGAGGGGAACGAGCAGCCCCCACGGACTCCCGATTCAAGCCAATTTGATTTGCGTCTTTGGCCTGCTGCCCAGCACTGACCTTCTGATCCAGTCTTGACTGCACAAGGCACTTTTTTATCACACACCGGAAGCTGAATGTGAAAGGTCTTGCGGCACCTTCGGGATTCGCCAATGGCACAAGCTTTTGCCGACTGGAGTCCGCTTCATCAGATGCAAAAAGCTTGCCAGCATTTCAGCACAGAGAGTCGGGAGTGGGTCGCAAACGGTGAAGTCGGGGGAAATTAAACGCATGAAGTGCCCACGGAGACGGCACATTCTCAGCAGTGCCAGTCGCTGAACGGCTCTTGCTGACAATACAAACAGGCCAGCGCTGGGCAAATCAATTAACACGTTGAGGGGGATTTTTTTTCAATTCCATATTCTAGTTCATACCTCTGGCAATGTGCCCCATCAATTGAAAAGCTGCCGGCTTTCATCCGATCCCCGATGGGGCTTCTTCGCTCCAGAATGGACGCTTTTGGGCCACTGGCAGGGAGGCAGACGCTTCTCCCGCTTGTTTTAATTATCCCCAGCCCTGCTACCAAGTGCACAGGATTCCTCTGCCGAGCGGAGAACGGTCTGCTTGCCCAGCGTGGATGGTCTTGCTCGCAAAGGGTGGCACAGCCGAAGCAGTGAGCAGTCCGGGCCACGGAAGCAGCGGGAGGACTGTGGGCCTCTCACCGTGGCCGGGAGCTCAGGGCTGCACCCACCCACCCACCAAAGGGCTCTCGCCTAGGGAAGGCTGTGTCCCCCCTGGACTGCCAAGACCGGTGGTGCCGTGTCCCTGGACTGCCCTTGTGCCGTCGCCACAAGAAGTCGCCCCGGCCGCATCCCTTTGATTTCAAATGCACAGCACTGCTTCTCCAAATATGCTGCCGGTTGTCCAAATATTCCAGACCTGTGGCAGCCGAGACCCTAAATATTTAGATAAGTGATGTGAGGGGAAGGCTGGCCCTGCTGCCGCAGAAGCAGCCTGTCTCGTGGCACGCTTCCTATGACCAGAAGAAAAGCTCGGAGCCCCAAGTCCTCCAGGCCCTTGAGCAGCAGATGTGGGCATGTTTGCACCCTCAGCCATCCTGAGCTGCCTGTGTCCCCAATAAGTACAGAAAAAACTTCACCGGTTAAGAGCTGCAGCAGTCCAGGTCCATCATTCAGCAATAAAGTTGCCCAGCAGGGAATTCAGGAGAAGAGTAAATTTCCTCTTCCCTGAAAATTGCAAGATGAAGTAGTTTAATATGGCTCACATCAGAGACCGTAACTGCAGCGAGCAGGTGCACCCGACAAGAGTGCATGGAGAGCCCCGACAGCCGCATCTTCCAGCTTGCAAGGCGGCCCTCCCCTTCCAGGCCCAGCCGCACCAGCCCCATGGCCCTGGCAGCCCCCCTCAGCAGCCTCCCCAAAAAAGGCAGGTTTCCACTATTAAGGGATGGTTTTATTGGTGTAGATCCACGATGGTGTAATAAACGGCATGCCTGCTTGAAAAGAATCCTTCATGCATTCCATGTATTGTTCAAAAGGCAGTAAGCTATAATTCCAACAAAAATACTAGCCATTTTTCTGTCTGTGTTATTGGCAGACCCGTCAAAACAATTTCCATGCATACAGGCCAAAATGTGTTTTTAAGAAAGATTATTCCCAACTGTGCATTATCTTAAATAGACCTGTCAGGCTGAGCTGTTCAGCAAAGAACGTGCTGCCCATGAGGCCCATCTTGAGAAAGGGAAGCGGAGCCACAGGCAGCAGGAGCTGAAGGGCCAGAGCACACGCTGCCAAGGGCACAAACGGGTCACTTGAGCAGGCGGCCGCGGTTTTTAGTCCCTTGCCAAGGCTGCAGGGCAGCAGTCTGGGGCCAGAGGGTTAGTCTGAGTTTCTCCGCAGGCTGCCAGGGTGCAGGAGCAATTCTTGCTCACGGGACGTGGCAAGCCCTGCTGGACAGAACTGTGTCTTCCAAAGCCCCTTCCGGGAGGCTTTGCTCCTCTGCATGGTGGCAAAGCCCCGTCCCAGCCCAAAGCAGCAGGGCCCAGAGCAGAGGGGGAGAGGCGAGATGCAGGAGGCCCGGAGACGAGGCCAAGGAAACGCTGCAGCCCCTGCGAGAGCCAGGAAAGGGCAGCGCGGAAGGGGATGCAGCCGGAATGTGGCCAGCAGTGTGGAGGGAGCGAGCAAGTGGCAGAGCGCTGAGGCCCGGTCGTTCCAGGGGACTGGTCCAGCTCCTTTCAGACTATCCTGCTGCTGTCTCCCTGCACCCCACTGCACCCCATAGCCAATGCGAAGTCTGACTGCGGAGGGCCGCGTCCCAGGCCCCCTTGGCCTTCACCACCAGGTGTGCCCGGGGGCGAGGCTCGTATCCGACGGAGCCATTCTCCTACAAAGCTCCTCAACGTCCCCCCAGTCAGAGGACGCACTGCCATCCACCCACGTGCGACTGCCAGCTGAAGGGAGGGCAGCAGGCGCCTGCCTGGACGCACGCAGGATCCGTGCCCGGGAGCGGAGGCGCCCACCCCGCTGCCCCTTTCTCTCTGCCCCATTTGGGAGACTGCTCTCAGCAGGGCCGGGGAGGCCAGCGGCCACAGGAGGTGGGGGCAAGCACAGAATGGGTGCAGGATGGGGCTTCCTGAAATGCTCACATTAACTTTAAACGTTTACTTTTAAAAAGTAGCGCTCGTAGCTAGAGAGAGACACGTGCAAGTGTGGGGGGGGGGGCGCTTTGTCAAGCTTGCTGGTGACGGCAACTCAGAGAAATGCCAGAAAGCACTCCTGTACCAAACACGGCCTCCCGGCGTTCTCAGCCTTCCTTAAAAACAAAAGAGCAGCACCAGCCGTTTCCGTGGTTTCACCGGATGAAGACAGACTTGAAGGGACTGCAACGCCGCATGAGATTCAGAAGCCAGGAGGGCGGCTGAAAAGTGCCCCAACAGCAGCCCGGCCTGCCTCTCTGCGTGACCAGCCAGGCCAGGCTCTGGCTGCCAGGACGTTCTTCCCGATGTCCAGCCAGAATCTGGCTTCCCGTCACCAAGTCCATTACTCCATGTCCTGGACTCAGCAATTAAGAAGAGATGCTGGCCTCCCTCTATGTGAAAATCCTACAAGTACTTAAAGGGTGCTACCCTGTCTCCTCTCAGTCTTCTCTTCCTGAGGCGAAACATGCCCATTTCTTTCAATTCCTCTTTGCTGGCTTGGTTTCCGGTCCCTGGATCATCCTTGCTGCCCTCTTCTGAGCCCGTTCCAGTTTGTCTGCATCTTTCTTAAACTGTGTTGCCCTGAGCTGGACACTGGATGAGGTGAAACCGGTGCAGAGTAAAGGGGAACTAGCATTTCACTTGACTTGGAAGTGATCGTTCTGTTAATGCAAGCCCAAACAGCCTTTGCCCATTTTGTACCCACTTCACATCACTGATTCCTATCTACACCAATTCCAAGATCCTTCTCACTTGCTGTGCAGCCAAGTATTCCCCATCCTGAAACAATGCATCCGGTTTCCTTTTCCTATGTGCAGAATCCGGCATTTGCCCCAGTGAATTTCATTCTGCTGTTTTCAGCCCAGCACTCCAACCTATCAAGATAACTTCGAATTTTGGCTTCCAGCAGAGTAGCTACCACATTGGCAAATTTCATAAGCATTCCCTGCACGACCTCACCCAAATAACTAATAAAGACATTGAAGAGCGCTGGGCCCAGGACTGAACACTGGGTACCCCACTTGCTCTCTCTTCCCAGTTGGAGAAGGTGGCATTGCTGAGCTCTCTCCGAGTCCAGTTCTCTAGCCAGCTGTGGAGCCATCTGATAGTTGCTCCACCCAGCCCACTTCTAGCTAGTTTGACAAATCCATGCTGGCTTCTTGTTTTGAAGTAGTTTGCAGATTGACTGTTTCATAATCTGCTCCAGAATTCTGCCAGGGATTAATGCCAGTCTGACTGGTCTGTAGTTCCCGGGTTCTTTCTTTTTGCCTTGAAGATGAGGACAACATTAGCCCTTCTCCAGGCACCTGGCACTGGCTCCCCAGACCACAGCTGTTCTGCTGGGGACTCGCCCCTCCACTAAGATAGCCCCGGGACCCACAGGGCTTCTGCCTTTCAGTTTCTCTTCCCTTCCTCCACAGATTTAAAGAAGGAAGATAGAAAGAACTAAAGTGAGCAGGAGAGGAATGATGCTCTTGCTGTCCTTGGCAAAGCACGCCATTTCAAGTCTGCTCATCTGCCCTCCAGTCCATGGGAGATGTCCTGTCCAGACACGCTGCTGCTTTTCTGTACACCCAAATGAGTGCGAACAAACATAAGCACCGAGCAACATTTTTTATCTGTAGGTGCAACAAAAAACCAACGACGTGGTGCTTGCATGCCAGGCCTTACCCTCTACCCTTACGAAAGGATTCGCAAATTCTGAACAAGCCAAACCGCCTGATGGGAGCGATCCCTGTGGGCTTTCGCTCAAGCACTCCCTTAGCTTCTCACGATTTTCCACATTGCGACCAAGTCAGTGTGCTAACAAGAGGAGAAACACACAGAAGCACACACACAGACCATAAAGAAAAACACAGCCCCCTAAAAGACCTATGCAAGTGTGCAGGACACAAGTGTTTGGACATCCAGGGACCCACCCCTCGCCCACCCGCCCCCAGACCTATTTTGTTCTGTAATTTAAGATAAATTGTTCATTCAGCATCGGACAGGCTGAATCAAATCACCAGACATGTGGTGTCTGGGAGGAAGAGTTTCATCCGGATGTTCTTCCATTTCTTCTCCGCTCCCGCTCCCATCCCAAGAATTAGCAGCACGCTGCCTGCACTCATTCCCACCTCCCTCGCAAGTTCCCACCGCAGCATTTCACAGCCCACCAAGCTTCAAGGGAAGCAGGTTGGGTGAAGAGTGCTCAGCCACGCGCTGCAGCTCGTCTCACCAGCACCACGGCCAGCCTCCGGACAGCACCTGCCCTCCCGCTGGCCAAGCAAACACTACTTCAGGCTATTGTTGATAACCACGCTGCCGTAGATATCACAACAAGGAGTCATTTTCTTCTTCTTCCCAAAAGTGGAGAAGCTGTTTTTGGCCTCCTGGTCGGGAAAGAGGGGTCCGTCTTTATGGAGAGGCATGGTCGGGGTCCCCGGAATGTACACGTTGTGCTGGTAATCCAGAGATGGGATCTGCTGTGGGTAGAGGGGGGCATACCGAGGGGTCCAGACGCTGCTGGTGGTCGCAGAGGCTTTCTGCAGTTCTGTGAAAAGCAAAACATTATCGAATGACAGAAGGAAAGTCTGGGGGGAGTGCGGTCCCTCAAGCATCGCCACCTTCTGAGGATGTCTGCCTGGAAAATGCTGCACCCAGTTCCTGCGGCTTATTTCAATTTGCATTTCAAGTTGTAAGAGAACAAAAGACATCCTTAAGGTCTGGAACGGTTATTCTTTGCTTAACTTTGAACATTTATAATCCACCTTTCCTCCAAGGAACTCAAGGTGGCACAAACACGTTTCCCTTTACTCCGCTCCAGGTCACTCTCCCTGCAACCCTCAAGACGTGGGTTAGCGTTCGAAAGCTCCATGCCTGGGTAGAGAGCCGATCTCTCCCATCCTAGCCAGACAGGCTAACAATGATGTCACTTACGGATGGGGCTTCTAGAGTCCCTCCGAGGATCGCCACAGAGCTGCCTTGCCGCCAGAATCCCCTGCGCGGCTACAGGCGATCACGTGCCTCCACCGGTTGTGCTGGTGCTGTTCTGTGCTGTCAACTCATCTCCGACTTACGGCGACCCTCCAAAAAGTCTCGTCTTTCACAGCCCTGCTCTGCTCTTGTGAACTCAAGGCTGTAGCTTCCTTTATAGAGTCAATCCATCTCACGGTTGCTCTTCCTGCTCATCTTCTGCCTTCCATTTTCCAGAGCACGAGTCTCTTCTTCAGTAGGTCAGCCAATGCACATTTGTACCATAATCTTGAGTGCCTCTTCCTTTCTGGAATCCAACTGGAACATCAGGCATTTCTCGTTCCATACAGAACTTCCCATTGCAACACCCTGAGCATCAGTTTGCTCGCAAGAGAAATGAATGCCATGACACACTCCCTTGCACCTCCTATCTTGGGATATTCCCAGTCTGTGGACCTTCGGCTCGCTCTCCCTACTTGCTAGCATATTCTTGTTCTGCTCTGACTGATTTCGTCTCTGCGCCCTCAGATAATTCTATTGGTATCCCATCTATCCCAGGTGCTTTGTTCCTCCCAGATGCTTTCCAAGCAGCGCTCACTTTGCCTTCTAAGACTGCCGATTCTTCCTCACAGTGTTCCTCTTTGATGGAGTCTGTCATTCCTTGGCCTCTCGTGTTCAGATTTTTTGTACGTCGTCTCCACCTTCTCTGAGTTTTCCCCTGGCCAAACGGAGCGTCC